GGGGAGCAGATCCGGTACCCGGGGCCGGTTCCCGGCCCGTCGGCCGCTGGCCTGCGCGGAGAGGCGAGATGGTTCGTGTGGCCGCTGCGCTTCTCCCCCGCGTGCAACTCTAACCACGGGCCTGGAAAGATTAACCAAAGCTAAAGCTGTAGTATAGCTAAATAATAAAAATTGGCACTGAGAAAGGGTTTATCCTATGGGCTTAGCTTTATCCTATGGGCTGGATCTATAGGCAAGCACATGCATAAAGCTCGAGGGACCACGGTGGCATTAGGCTCATCTGAAGTTTACCGGAGTCTGTCTGGGAATTTCAGGATGCTCATAGATTTCCCTTAACAATTTTCTAAAAGATATACTGTGATTTTGCGGAGATGTTCCCTCCCCCTTGCATTAATCTGGAATCTTTGCCAAAAAAAATCTCATGAAATAAAGTGAAAACAAATTTCAAATGAAAACAGTTTTTTGAGTAGGAACTCATTCTGAATGGGAACAAAACTTTGAGTCCCAAAGTTAATTTTACACAGTTGGAGTTCAGAGGGGCACAAAAGTACCTGACAGCTAATTTTAGGCTACTTTTGCAAAATTGTACGTCTAGAAACAGGCTCCCAACTACTGGAACTGGGACTGTGGCAGCCATCTCAGCTGATGATTTTCGGTGCCACAACCTGAGTTTCCCAGGGGTTGAGCCTGCTCCCACGGATGCCGTGGCGGCTCGGAGAAACCCAGGAAGAGCTTTGAACTTTTCTGTCCAGGCAAATGCCTGTAGGACCAGCCCATCACCTCCCCGGTTCCTCCCCACCTGGACCACAGCAAAACCAAACCAACCCCTTTGCTAAGCTAGGGCTCTGCATGGTACTACTTAACAGCCGTAGTAGGAGGTACGTACGGGTGCTCCCACTTAGGCATCTGATTTATCCGCTTGCAAGGAAAAAGTTGTAGCCCTGATGGGAGAGGAATCAAATTAAAGAAGGAAATACAACGCGAAAAAAGTGGAGAACAGTTTCACGGCTGTTCACGACGTGCTGTGTGGGATTGTTACATACAAGCAGCCACCAGCGATTACACTCCCTTCTGCTTTCACTGAGCTGGAGTAAAATAGAGTTTAAATCTCAAGATCTAATTTGCAAGAGGAAAAGCACAATGTGTTTAGCCTGGTTTGTAGCTACCCCTAGATGTCTCAGGTTCCAAGTATTTTGGTGTTCAGCACTTCTACCCGAGTATGCTTCAGCAGCACTTTTGAATCCATCCCTCCTTTTTCCTCTTAGAAGCCTTTTGTTTAATTTTCTTATGCCAGACAGTGAAACACTGATTGGTGGAAAAACTTGTTTTGAGGTTATAATTTTGAGTTTTTCCCTAAGAAATTGCTTGATTCTATAGACGTCATCGCTCGCATGGGTGTTGATCTCTGTGAGATCTTTCAGCAGAAGTCGCAGTCTCTACTGTGGGCTGGGTGGTTTTTTTCGTTTTGTTTTGTTTTGTGTTTACTTGAAACTGTGACTTTCCTTTTTGACCTAGATCGATTTTCAGAGTTATTTGAACGTGATTTAAAGGGGCGCAGGGCAGTTTGAAACTACAGGGAGAGAGATGCAATGAGCCGGACTCGTCTTTAAGCGTGCCACCCTCTTGGGATGGGACAGGAGCGGGAGAAACGAGGTCTGGGAGAAAGCTGTCAGGCTGTTCCTGCGTGTTTTGTGACGTTTGCAAAAGCGCTCCTCATGACTAGTTGTAAAAACTGCTACCGGATCCCTAATGACCACTGGGCTTTTAATGCCGAGCTTTAGTGTGCCGAGCTTCGCCTTGCAGTCGTGAGCACGTTGCGTTTGCCTTCCCACGTCCCGTCCTGACCCGTCGTG